CATGATTTACGCGAACGCATGCAGTGTACCCCACCTCCCGAAGCTGAAGAATTACGTCGAGTCTTGAGGCGCATGCGGCCTTCCTCAGCTGTGGGCGTGAGTCGGCTTTGCCGTACGGACATCGGTCGACTCCCTGATGAGGCGATCATTGAGCTCGTCTCCATTCTAGCACTCTGCGAACAGTATCAAGCGTGGCCATGCCAGGTCCTCCTTACCCTGGGCAGTTTACTACCAAAAAAGAGAAGCGGAGATCGAGCCATTGGCTTGCCACCCTTTTTTGCAAACCATCCTGTGGTGTTGGGTCATCGTTTCGAAGAGACGGTGCCCCGCGTCTCCTCCTCCCGCTGCCCCCCCTCCTCCCTCCTCCCCCTCATTGCCTCTGCTCTCGGCACACCCCTTCACACGCTTCGTAGCCCCATAGGGAGCTCCACCGAAGGCCCCAGTGGTTGCTCTCGCATGCGGTTCCCCCACCCAGGGCAGCGCTTCGCGGCCCCATAGGGAGCTCCACCGAAGGCCACAGTGGCTGCTCTCGCATGCGGTTCCCCCACCCAGGGCAGCGCTTCGTGGCCCCATAGGGAGCTCCACCGAAGGCCCCAGTGGCTGCTCTCGCATGCGGTTCCCCCACCCAGGGCAGCGCTTCGTGGCCCCATAGGGAGCTCCACCGAAGGCCCCAGCGGCTGCTCTCGCATGCGGTTCCCCCACCCAGGGCGGCGTTTCCTGGCCCTATAGGGAGCCGCACCAAAGGCCCCAGTGGCTGCTCTCGCATGCGGTTCCCCCGCCCAGGGCAGCGCTTCGTGGCCTTATAGGGAGTCCCACCGAAGGCCCCAGTGGCGCAGTTCGCATGCGGTTCCCCCACCCAGGGCAGCGCTTCGTGGCCCCATAGGGAGCCCCACTGAAGGCCCCAGTGGTTGCTCTCGCATGCGGTCCCCCCAGGGCAGCGCTTCGTGGCCCCATAGGGAGCTCCACCGAAGGCCCTAGCGGCTGCTCTCGCATGCGGTTCCCCCACCCAGGGCAGCGCTTCGTGGCCCCATAGGGAGCTCCACCGAAGGCCCCAGTGGCTGTTCTCGCATGCGGTTCCCCCAGCCAGGGCAGCGCTTCGTGGCCCCATAGGGAGCTCCACCGAAGGCCCCAGTGGCTGCTCTCGCATGCGTTTCCCCCACACAGGGCAGCGCTTCGTGGCCCCATAGGGAGCTCAACCGAAGGCCCAGTGGCTGCTCTCGCATGCGGTTCCCCCACCCAGGGCAGCGCTTCGTGGCCCCATGGGGAGCTCCACCGAAAGGCCCAGCGGCTGCTCTCGCATGCGGTTCCCCCACCCAGGGCAGCACTTCGTGGCCCCATAGGGAGCTCCACCGAAGGCCCCAGCGGCTGCTCTCGCATGCGGTTCCCCCACCCAGGGCAGCGCTTCGTGGCCCCATAGGGAGCTCCACCGGAGGCCCCAGTGGCTGCTCTCGCATGCGGTTCCCCCACCCAGGGCAGCGCTTCGTGGCCCCATAGGGAGCTCCACCGAAGGCCCCAGTGGCTGCTCTCGCATGCGGTTCCCCCACCCAGGGCAGCGCTTTCGTGGGCCATAGGGAGCTCCACCGAAGGCCCCAGTGGCTGCTTCGCATGCGCCCCCACCCAGGGCAGGCGCTTCGTTGGCCCATAGGGAGCTCCACCGAAGGCCCCAGTGGCTGCTCTCGCATGCGGTTCCCCCACCCAGGGCAGCGTTTCGTGGCCCCATAGGGAGCTCCACCCACCGAAGGCCCCGCAGTGGGGGTGTGGCCCCATAGGGAGCTCCACCGAAGGCCCCATGGCTGCTCTCGCACGCGGTTCCCCCACCAGGGGCAGCGCTTCGTGGCCCCATAGGGAACTCCACCGAAGGCCCCAGTGGCGCAGTTCGCGTTCCCCCACCCAGGGCAGCGCTTCGTGGCCCTATAGGGAGTCCCACCGAAGGCCCCCATGGCGCAGTTCGCATGCGGTTCCCCCACCCAGGGCAGCGCTTCGTGGCCCCATAGGGAGCTCCACCGAAGGCTCCAGTGGCTGCTCTCGCATGCGTTTCCCCCACCCAGGGCAGCGCTTCGTGGCCCCATAGGGAGCTCCACCGAAGGCCCCAGTGGGGGTGTTCGCATGCGGTTCCCCCACCCAGGGCAGCGTTTCGTGGCCCCATAGGGAGCTCCACCGAAGGCCCCAGTGGGGGTGTTCGCATGCGGTTCCCCCACCCAGGGCAGCGCTTCGTCGCCCCATAGGGAGCTCCACCGAAGGCCCCAGTGGGGGTGTTCGCATGCGGTTCCCCCACCCAGGGCAGCGTTTCGTGGCCCCATAGGGAGCTCCACCGAAGGCCCCAGTGGGGGTGTTCGCATGCGGTTCCCCCACCCAGGGCAGCGCTTCGTGGCCCCATAGGGAGCTCCACCGAAGGCCCCAGTGGCTGCTCTCGCACGCGGTTCCCCCACCCAGGGCAGCGTTTCGTGGCCCCATAGGGAGCTCCACCGAAGGCCCCAGTGGCTGCTCTCGCACGCTGTTCCCCCACCCAGGGCAGCGCTTCGTGGCCCCATAGGGAGCTCCACCGAAGGCCCCAGTGGCGCAGTTCGCGTTCCCCCACCCAGGGCAGCGCTTCGTGGCCCCATGGGGAGCTCCACCGAAGGCCCAGTGGCGCAGTTCGCATGCGGTTCCCCCACCCAGGGCAGCACTTCGTGGCCTCATAGGTAGCTCCACCGAAGGCCCCAGTGGCTGTTCTCGCATGCGGTTCCCCCACCCAGGGCAGCGCTTCGTGGCCCCATAGGGAGCTCCACCGAAGGCCCCAGTGGCTGCTCTCGCACGGGGTTCCCCCACCCAGGGCAGCGCTTCGTGGTCCCATAGGGAGCCCCAGCGAAAGCGGCACCCACAACGCGTTACGAACAATTGCTTATGGTTGGGTCCTTCGCCAGGATAATTTGCGAGGGCATGGAGACGGACCAGAGGAGAACATGTTTGGAATTGGACGGACCAGTGCGAAGCGCACAAGAACACGGCCATTCGAGGCAACGCAGCAATTCGCGAGGTCTTTCTCAAGGCAGTCGACGAGAAGCGCGTCGAGCGCCTTGGCGCGGCGCACGGGAACGGACTCGTCGACGTTGCGCCCTTTCTGCGACAGCGTGGGCTGGTTCAAGGTAGGATCGGCCGCACGCCGTCTCCAATTCCCTCCAGAGGTGCTGGGGCTAGAGCTCCCACAGTGCATGGCAGCGCGCTGCGCGCGACAAGATGGATGCTGCGGACCCCCTTTTCTGGCCGACACGCCCCATCGCGCAGGGGCCCCGAGGAGGCACGAGGTTCGGCAAGAGCGCCCCACAGTTTAGCACGGATAAGATTACCGGAGCACGCGTGAACAAGTCGCACAGGCTGCGGGGCGATGACCTCAGTCAAACGCGCTGCGAATCACGCGCCTCCATGACGCAGTCATTCGGGTGTTTGAACACGACGTGAACGAGCATGACCGAGGCAGGCCCGGCAATATCACCTAAGAGTGTTGTGGTTTGCAGTCGTGTGCAGAATGCTCGTGAGGTTGTTCGGCGACTCGTCAGGCTCGGATTCACGTTGAAATGGGCTCCCCAAGCAGCTTACCTCGGCGGCGACATCTATGGCGGGCGACGGCTTGGGGGGCCACCAGAACCAATCGCGTCAACTTGCATCGGCCCATGTTAAAGAAGATCGCAGGTTTCGCATATACCCTTCGGGGGCACAAGCTCACGGCGCGCCTGCAGCAGCAGGGGGGGCAACCAACAGGACTGTACGCTCACCAGCTGCACGGAGCCAGGGGGGGCCAGTTGACCCGAGTGCGCAGGCAACTGGCTAACGCCAGCGCCCCGCGCCTCACTGGCCGCTGCGTCACCACCGTGATTGACCTGCGTGCTGATGATCGGGATCCCGCTTTTCGTTTGTCAGTCGGTACTTTGCGAATGCGGACTGCAGCATACCTGTCAGAGCCGTCTCTACGTCCTCCTCCTCGTCCTCCTCCTCCTCCTCCTCGCCCCCTCCTCCCCCGCGGCGGGCGTCCTCTTTGTGGCACCACGCCGTCTCGTACACCCCCACCACGGAGGCGTAGTGCGATTGCGCCGCCATCGGCGCAGGGCGGCGGCTGCCCTGCGCCCGCCGAAGAGAGAAGGAGAAGAGAAACAAACGAGAAAGAGAGAAGGAGAAGGAGTAGTGGCTTGGGTAAGCATCGGGTGGGACCGCGGGTACAGCCCCGATAGCGGCACCTCCCGCTCAGGGATGGCTGGGGGACAGCTCACCACCTGTCGCGGATGCCTAGTACCGCAGCGTCACTGAGCACCTCGGCCCGCCCCTTGGGAAATCTGCCTCCTCCCACCTTTGACCACAGGAGTGCAGGGGCCCTGGGACACACAAATAAATAGACACAAATAACAGGATTCCCCATCGTTTCCCAAATTTTCTGGGTTCTTGTCTCCCCCCCCACTTCCCATATTTTCCCATATTTTCTGGGGAATCGACGATGAATTGTGCCTGTGTGTGTTTTCCCCCCCTGGAGGAAGTCCAGCGGTGACTACCTCCTGTACCTGGGAGCTCCAAGAACAGGACAGAGCTATACCTGGGGCCCCGTCCTGGGGCGTGGTGGACGAAACGACTCCTCCACGGGGGGCCCAGCGGCCTTCCGCGCTGGCGGACATCGAGGAACGCGGAGGGGGGCGAGCAGAGGGAGAGCGCCCGCTCACCACCGCTGGGGCCCCGCCCGCCCGTCGGCGCAGCTGCGAGGCGTTCGAAGAGGAGGAGGAGTAGGAGGAGGAGGAGGAGGAGGCGGAGGAGGAGGAGGAGAAGGGGGGAGGGGAGGAGGAGGAGGACGAGGAGGAGGAGGAGGAGGAGGAGGAGAAGGAGGAAGAGGAGGAGGAGGAGGACGAGGAGGAGGAGAAGGAGGAGGAGGAGGAGGAGACGGAGGAGGAGGAGACGGAGGAGGAGGAGAGAGAGAGACAGGGGAGAAAGAGAGGACGCAAAAAAGGTATCAGGGAGGAGCGAGAGAGGAGGGAGAGAGGCTGAAGGCTGAGAGCACGGAATTAAGCTGAGATGCCGGGCCGCGCCGCACGGGGAGGGACCCTCGCTCCGAAAGTTGCGAGGAGCTGGGCACACTGGGCCCGGCCGCGAGCCGGCGCGGCCGCCAGAGCACCACGCTTCTACCCGCAGGCGGGCCCGGGCCCGTGGGTAGAGCCCCAGGTTCCCAGGCGAAGTCCAAGCGTGGCGACAGGGGAGAGAGGGAGGGGGAGGGAGGGAGGGAGGGAGGGAGGGGCAGAGGGAGGGAGAGAGGGAGGGAGGGAGGGAGAGAGGGAGGAGAAGGGAGGAGGAGGAGGAGGAGGAGGAGGAGGAGGAGGAGGAGGAGAAGAGGAGGAGGAGAAGGAGGAGGAGGAGGAGGAGGGTCGGTCCGTAGCGACTTTGGCTCAAGTTCAAGCGCCGTGCCCCGGGCGGTTCAGCCTGACCGCAGCCGAGGGGCTGGCTCAGACTGCCTTCTGGCCAGCAGCTGGCCGAGCCCCTTCTTGCGACGATGCCTTCTCTTACATATTCTGCTCTCGCTGCTGGTACACTGGGGAAGGCTTCCGAGGGCAACCAGCAGAAGGACCCCGAGGACAAGAGGCGCCTGAGGTCCAGGAGACAGAGGTCGGACTCGCCCTCGCGGCAGTGGGAGGAGGAGGAGAGCTCTTCCACAAGGCCATCACACATCTGGATGGCGGCACCGGCCGAAGCCCAGGCGCACCCCGACTGCAAGGAGCTCTCGCCGAAGGCAGACGAGAGTGACAAAACACAGTACTACAAAGAGACAAGGTCCAAGCTGACCCTGCTCCAGCAGATGTACAGCATCGCTTGGGCGATGAGAGAACCAGTTCAAGAGATTGCGAAGCAGATCGCGATTCTGAGGCGCAGTCTCCCCTAGGAGAAATCACTGGAGCAACTGAATGCATGGACAGAGACAACCATGGCAAGACCAATGCTACAATTCGACGCTGTCAACAAAGCGGTGGACGCGCATAAGGAGATAACTGGAGAAGAAGACCGCCCAGAAAGACAATATGCATGAGCAGCTCGACGCTCTCGGGCGCACCAATAGCGAGATCCAAGTACTGATTGCCCAGAAGTCAAGCAAGGAAGAGGAAGCCGCTTCAGTCATGAGCACGGACATGAGGACGGAGAGGCAAAAGCAGGGCGTAGTACCGTGCACACAGAATCCCTAACGCCCACGGCTTCGGCATCGGCAGTTGTTGGGCTCGGCTCAGGTGAAGCCCATCATCCCGCAGATGCAGCACATGCAGAACTTGATGGATAGTACGCTTGCCCTCCCAGCCCCGTCGCCACCAGACATGAAGGGCAGCCAGCGACAGACGCCGATAGAGGTCGCACCGTCATCACCGAGTGCATCACCATGCCCCACTTCAACGTGTTCACGAGACGCCGCCGCCACCGAACACGCCTACAGTTCTACCGACTAGAACTGCTGAGTATCGTTTAACCGATCCCCATCCGCAGCGGCGTGGCCTGGGCCCCACTGGCCGATTTACCCCCCTAGATGGGGATATAGGCCGTTACCTTCGGGTTTCGAGGGGCGTATCCTCAACTGGGGTGGTAATTTGGTGGGGGTCTCGAGGGGGACGGGGATGGGGATGGGGATGGGTTAAACGATACCGAGTTGCAGGGAGCGCCCCCTGAGGATCGAGGAGGAATAACCCATGGCGCAGCAGAGAGCAGCGAAGTCCGCGAGCGGATCGGACGACCAGTACCCCCTCGGGCCACCAAGGCGCTCGAGGACGGCCAGGTCGAGGAGCCCGAGCATGCGCCCAGCAGGGGCGGGAAGACGACAACCGACGGCCAGGACGCCCACGAACGACAGAGTCAGGGTCGAGAGAGGATCCATGGCACTGGTTGGAGGGCGACGGGCCGCGCGTCAGGCAGCGATGAGAGTCGACAACGAGGCAGCGGGCATGAGGGCTCCCAGCACAGAAAGCACGGAGGTGACGGGCCCGTACGCCGCGACGGAGATCTGAGCCATAGTCACAGTGATGCAGCGCCTTGCGGGGACAGACAGGCGCCATCCACCATGTATGTAGGCTCTGGCCTAGCGAGCACGCGCCGCCAACCCCGATCGATTCGAGATCGTGCGGCCAGTCACGGCCGAGGGTCGCTTTTAGTGCGGCCGTTCCCTACCATTGCGTTGATCTGACCTCTCCCTCCCCTCCTCCCTCCTCCTCGTGTGGGAATGGGGGTAGGCGGGAGCCGACATCGTTGGGACATGGGGATAACTGTCGGATTGGTCCACTTTCCTTTGAGCTTTTTCGTTCGGCGGCGTCTGGCCCAAAAGTGGCTCAGACTAGCGCGTCCCGCCCAATGCCAAACCATTCGCTCACAAGTCCTGAAATACGACAGACTGCTGCCCCTCGACCCTGGCGAACAAAAGAAATAGTCACAACCGCACGGAAAGCATGTTCCGAAATGGCTGAAAAGGCCTGATCACAGGATCAGACGGCGGGGTCGTATGACCGCCAGTGCCTTGAATAAGCGCAACGTCGGCGGGGTGCAACATCTAGTGTCCTCACCAAGTGAAGCAGACACGAAAACGAAGTATCTTAATTCCATCGTCGCGGTCTCTGGCAGCCGAAGATCGACCGTGGGGCGAGTTGTATCATAGAGTGCCGTGGACAAGTGTAGCACACACAAAAACTCAATGCTATAAATCCACCGTTGCGGCCTCTGGCGGCCGCAGAATGACCGTGGGGCGTCGCACTCGACACTCGCCGTCGAATGGTCCGCAGGTCACCGAAGACAACCTTGCAGGACAAGAGGCTCGCTGTAGGTCTAATTTTCTCGGAGCTTGACGCTCGCATTCCGATTGATGTGCCCACCGTGGAAGACGATCCTTGTGACCGAATCGTCTGCAGCCTGGGACAAAAAAAGGGAGGCATCTTAACACGCCTCCAGAAGGATGGGCGAACCGTCAGCCTTGACACGAAGGAGGACCGGGCGAACCTCCACGCCCACGCACAGCCGGGCCTCGACACGTGCCCTGTTTTGCTGCGCAGCGGCGCTCGCAGCCATCTGCCGCCGCTGCCGCTGCGAGCTGGCTGCGGCTGCCGAGGTCCGCGCCCCGCGCGGCCGCCACGCCACCCGGCGAGCGCGCAGCCTGCCTCTGCGAACTATCTGCTGATGCCGCTGCCGCTGCTGCTGCTGCTGGAGTCCGCGTCCCACGCGGCCGCTGTGTAGCCCAGCGAGCGCGCAGCCTGCCGCTGCGGGGCGGAGAGCCGCGCCCAGGAGCGGGTGCTCGCGGGCGGCGGCGGGCCGTCGTGGTCCCAGCTGCTGAAATCGAAGCCCAGACTGAGGGCCGCTCCTCGCTCGGCGGCCGTCAGTTGCGACCAGGACACCTTGTAGGCGGGCGGCCGCAGCGGTGCGGCCCAGGTAGGCGCGGTCGCCCTGGCCCTTCGGGCGGCCGCATCGGCGCCGGCCGCCGCGGGCGGGCCGCCCGGGTCGGGAGCCGCGGCGCCCAGCGCGGCGCAGACCTTCCCCGCCGTCTCCACGCCGGACATGTAGGCGCCGTGGACCGTCGAGGGGTACAGGCTGTGGGCCGCCTCCCCGCAGAAGAACACCGCGTCGCCCACGGCGCGAGCGAGCTCCTCCCTGTCGCAGGGCCCCGCTCCGACAGGCAGGTACGAGTAGGAGCCGAGCGAGAAGGGGTCGCTGCCCCAACGGGTGACGTGCCTCGCCGTAACTGCGGGGATGGGCCTGCCCGGCCGTCCCCAGCCGCCGGGCAGCGCCCGCGCCACGTGGGACACGACGTGAAGGAGAAAGTCCGCCACTATGGCGTCATCGCTCTCCTTCTCCATCTCCCACGAATACGGTGGCGCCACAAGCGCCATCAGCACCGGGAGGCCGTCCATGGCCTCTGCGCAGTTCACCACCAGCCAATAGGAATGGCCGGCGCCACCCCGAGCCTCGCCCGCGGCGCCGGGCCGCTCCGGCGCCGAGGGCGGCAGGTACGAGAACGTCACCTGGTCGGCGGGCCACCACGCCTGCTCGAACTGCAGGAAGACCTTGTTCAGCAGCCCCATGTCCAGCCGCTCGATCGCGGCAAGCTTCGGCGGCGGCAGGGGCGGCCGGAAGGCGATGGTGCCAGCCTTGAGCACGCCCAGAGGGACGGACACCACAACGGCCCTCGCCGTCACCTCCACGGTAGCCGGAGGGTGGCCCGCACGGTAGCGCACGCGAACGCGCCCCTCGGGCGTGGGGGCGTAGTCGACCTCCTCGACGGCGGCGTCGAGCCGGACGCCCTCGCCGCCCAACTCCTCGGCGAGTGCGCGCAGAACCTGCCCGAGGCAGCCGTGCACCAGGTAGTGGGCCTCCCCCCCCTGATGGGCCGATTTTGCACCACCACTACCACTTGTGAGAGAGGGAGGAGGAGGGGGAGGAGGAAGAGGAGGAGGAGGAGGAGGAGGAGGACGAGGACGAGGCGGAGGAGGAGGAGGAGGAGGAGGAGGAGGAGGACGAGGCGGAGGAGGAGGAGGAGGAGGAGGAGGAGGTGGAGGAGGAGGAGGAGGAGGAGGAGAACGAGGAGGAGGAGGAAGAGGAGGAGGAGGAGGAGGAGGAGTAGGAGGAGGTGGAGGAGGAGGAGGAGGAAGAGGAGGAGGAGGACGAGGACGAGGAGGAGGACGAGGAGGAGGAGGAGGACCTCGCCATCCGCCCTTCTCCCCGCCCTGCCCATGGTAGCGGTGGTGGACAATTGGCCCATGACCCCCATCTCGAAGTCGGCGTCCCAGTTGACACAGGAGAGGTCGTCGAGCCCCGCGGCGTAGTCCGCCGCGATCTCGAGCTGGAGCCAGGCCCGCAGCAGGCGCCCCTCGGTCGCGCCCGTGCCGGCCCTGGCCAGCTGCTGCTCCACCGCGGCGGCGAGGCTGCAGTCCGCACGGGGCTCGCCGCCAGCCGCGAGCCGGGCGCTCCACAGCGGCGCCCGCGCGGTGGCCAGCGCCCGCTGCAGCAGCCTACCCGCGTCCCGCTCGGCGAGGCCCACGCGGGCGACGATCGAAAACGGGTCTTGCGCGAGGTGACGTAGCGAGCTTGCGCGGCGGCTTACGCGGGCCGCCGGCGCGGCGCGCCACATTGGAGACGAGGGCGCTTACGCGCGACCTTGTAAGCGGGCAGCTTACACGCCAATGTTGGTGCAGACGAGCCCGTTTTCTTGACGTCGCTCATGTCCTCCTCGGCCACCAAGCCGTTCTCGTCGAAGACCAGGTTCTTATCCGAGTTCCAGTCCGTTTTCAGCAGCCGCAGGCCTTGGTGGAGCGCCAGCAGCTTCAGGGGGTGCGCCGGGTCGTCGCCCTTGTGGACCCAGGAGGCGCCGGCGTCGACGGTTGCGGCGGCCGCGCTGTCGCCGGTGGCGGTCAGCGGCGTGCTGTGCACGCGGCCTCCAATCCGCCCACGCCCCTCCAGCACTAGCACGGACAGCCCCGCCCGGCGCAGCTCCGCCGCCGCCGCGAGCCCAGCGGCGCCCGCGCCGACCACCACGGCAACCCACTCTGGCGACGCCGTCACGACGGCGGCGGTGCCGGCGCCGGCATCGCTGGCGTGACCAGCGCCAGGCGTCCGTGGGGGTGCCATGGAGCCCAATCCTTGAGCCAAAATGGCTACGGCCAGATGGGGGCGATCGTTTGGGCCCCTGTGTGGATCAGTCGTCAGCAGTCCGGTCTCGCCCAGAGCTCCCCCATCGAAGCGGCCTCGGCCTCTGCCGTGCAGAATGCTGAGGGGGCTGCTCGGTCCGAGGCCAGCCCTGAGCTCGAAGACCTCCAGCGAACTGCACGCCAAGAGGTGAGAGCACAGAAGATCACTGTGTAAACACGCTACTTCCCACCAGGCTCACCCTTAAAACGTGTTGGTTGTTGGTTCGTCTAAGCGTGAACGAGTCACTTATGGAAACCCGCGACCCTGTCTGGGCAAAAGACCTGACCCTTGCGGTAGGCGATGCATGGCCATCAGCTGGGGATACCGAGGCTGACCGACATGCTACAGCGGCCTCGCACCTTGGCTGGAGATGTGTCCCTGAATGTGGCGTGCTTCAATGCAACCTCGATGGTTGAGAACCCACGGAGGCTTGAACGTCAACATAGCGCCTAACTCGCCAGAAAGCATATGTGCGAACAGGGTGTCCACACTGTCGGCATCCAAAGAGGCCAGGACCCCTGCGGGGTCCCGCGATGCCGAAGAGTACCACATCTTGGCCTCTGGGAGGGGTGGTAAGAATTTCTGAGTCGAGGCATGTTGTTGACCACCATCCCGTACATGAACCACAAAGGTAAGAGTAGGTACTTTGGTACTTTCAGAGAAGCCACTTCCTAATTGTGCACGCCGATGCTCTCAGAATCGTAGTGCTAGTCCGTGCGCCAGGCCTTCATTTCAACTTCATGGTCCTGCACGCCCCATATCAAGCCGCCCAGAGAGGGCTGATTGACGCAAGCGCTGTTCAGAGACAGGTCAGATTCCATTGGATCGGGGGGGGGCTGTGTGTGTGCGTGCGTGCGCGCGTGCGTGCGTGCATCAGTGCGTGCGTGCGTGCGTCCATCCGTGCGTGCGTGCGTGCGTGCGTGTGTGCGTGTGTGTGTGTGTGATGTGCTGTGCTGTGCTGTGTTGTGATGTGTTGTGGAGTGCTCCGTTGTGGTGTGTTGTGTTGCTTTGCGCTGCTGCATTGCGTTGCGTTGCATTGTGTTGTGTTGTGTTGTGTTGTTGTGTTGTGTTGTGTTGTGTTGTGTTGTGTTGTGTTGTGTTGTGTTGTGTTGTGTTGTGTTGTGTTGTGTTGTGTTGTGTTGTGGTGTGGTGTGTTGTGCTGTGGTGTGGTGTGGTGTGGTGTGGTGCGTTGTTGTGTGGTGTGGTGTGGTGTATTGTGGTGTGGCGTAGTGTAGTGTGGTGTGGTGTGGTGTGGTGTGTTATGTTGTGTTGTGTTGTGCTGTGCTGTGCTGTGCTGTGTTGTGTTGTGTTGTGCTGTGCTGTGCTGTGCTGTGTTGTATGGTTGCGTTACATTGCGTTGTGCTGTGTTGTGTTGTGTTGTGTTGTGTTGTGGTGTGTTGTGGTGTGTTGTGTTGTGTTGTGTTGTGGTGTGGTGTGTTCTTTTGTGTTTTGTTGCGTTGTGTTGTGTTGTTGTGTGGTGTGATGTGTTGTGTGTGTTGCGTGTGTGGTGTGTGTGTGTTGTGCGCTGTTTGTTGTGTTGTGTGTTGTGTGCTGGGTGGTTGTGTGTGTGCGAGGTCTCCCTCGTCGTGCCGTCCACGTTCGCTGAGAGCCCGTGGGCCCGTCATGACCCACAGGAGGGCTTTACCCTTGTCAAGAATGAGGTCCCCCACCGCCTTCCCTCTGTGAACATTAGACCCAACATGCTTCCAACGGTCACCTTTGAACAAGTGATGATCAAGGTGATGACGCATGTAGATGTTTCCACAGACGTCAGCGACAAATTGCCCGCGTTTCCTTGACATGCCGTGGGAAATCCGCGACAACGCCAGCAATAGAAAGGAAGGAAAGCAAGGAGAAGACAGGGGCGGCGCTATCAGCCAAGGCCCCCCTGAGAATATGCAAGCAAAGACTAGCAACGAAAAGAAACCAACCTTTGCATGTGAATTGCCCGGCCCGTGTATAGAAAAGGCGATCTAGCCAGACCATCCCGACAGGGTAAGCAAGCGAGGAGCACGAGGCCGAGGTTCAACCGTCAACACACCAGTGACGCCCACAGGGCTGCCATCGTCAAGACGTTTCTTTGCTCTCTCCCCGTGCTTTCGCGATCGCTTGATGCAAACCAGCATGGCAGCCAAGTTCAGGATCAAATGAGTTGAGCCGCTTCAGTGGCGTTCCCAGTGCAGCGGAGCTTCCCGAGGGAGCCTTACACAGAACCACCCAAGCCCTACACGATAGGCTGGCGGAGGAAAAAGCATAGGCGTGTTTCGGACCCCCCCTGACAGCCGCGCTCGGGCCCTCTACAAGTGGGCTCGACTTTTCTTTTAATGTTCCCAAGTTCCCCTCCCACTTTCGAGTGTCCAGGTGAAGAGGCTCTTGAGGTTTGGCAAGAGTTCGAATGGCAAGAGTTCGAGGAAGCAAAAAGAAGGCCCCCAAGAAGCCCCCGAGAGGTCGCCCGTGACATCCCAACGAACATCCTGGAGGCCTATGGCTTACAACCCACGCACGGTGGCGGGATGAGCCGAAGGCCATTAGATGCCTGTAGACCTATAACTACACCGATACATACATATACAGAGAGAGCCATATACGTCCGCATATAACGAAATGCTGTATGCATAACCGTATACACCACATCAATATCCAACTGCAAAATCCTTGGTCCTCGAACCACCTCCTCCGCCTCTTCCTCCTCCTCCTCCTCGGTTCCCGATCCTCGGGAGGATGTGTCAACCCTGCTCCGGTCGCCGAGCGCCATGGGGATCCCAAGCAACCCGCCGCCAGGATACCTGTTTAGGGGCGGACAACCGAATTAAACCGATGATCGGCCCAGAAGCAGAGGCACCCAGGGTATCCTCATCATGGGAGGCGACTGCAGCGATACCTGAGGGGCCGTCCAGCCAAATGCGCTGGCTATGGGCCCAGCAGGCACAGACGCCAAGGGCACATGTGGACCACGACCTTCATCCTCATCATGGGCGGCGACTGCAGCGATCATCATGGGCGGCGACTGCAGCGATTATTGAGGGGCTGGCCGACCAGATAAACGGACGATGGGCCAAGAAGGCACGGACGCCAAGGGCATCTGTGGGCCTTCCCACTCATCCACTCATCCACATCCTGGGTGGTGGCTGCATCGTGGACGGGAAGCATGTCCATATCCACGGCCCTGTGGACGCGGGCCCGTGGCTGCTGGGCGTGTGTTTGCGGACCCCCCGCGCGGAGCGTGGTCCATGTGACCGCGTATACACGGGACCGCACCCTGGAATCCATACCACGAGGGCGTGGATATGAATATGTTCGCCACATAGGGGGTCGCTCTTCGGAGACCCCAGCAGGCGGCGGTGTTCGCTGCCGAGGTGACTGTTCTTCAGACCCCCGCAGGCGGCGGATATAGATACAATCACCCCGCGCTCCCAAGGTCGGATTCGATATATACATAAACGTGTGACAATGTACATACATATATATATACACGAGTATCTGTGCAACTCCACATATATATATATATGCACATTTGTATAGATATGCAAATAAATGTATGTATTGAAATGCGTACATACAAAGATGAATACGTACGTACTTACAAGCATGCATGCATGCGCATCGGCGTGTATTACATGTATAGCTATGCATACATGTGCAGGTATGTGTGGATGTATGTACATACGTATATACATGCATACATTTACACATCCATACATACTTACATACCGGCCTACCTGCATACCTACATACCTACATACATCTAGATGCGTGGATACATACATTGATCCAGCCGTAATACCTATATACATGCATGCATGCATACATCGATACAAATGTTCATAAATGCATCCCTTTTTTCATACGGGCAGACAGAACGACAGACAGACAGATATACATTCACGCATACATACATATATACATACATACATACATACATACATGCATACATACATACATACATATATGTATAGATATTCATAGACATATGCATACATACGTAAACACATGCATACACGCATGCATACCGAACGACGTCTATGCACAACTACACATAGACACACACGCATACATGCATTCAGACATACATACAAGTGGTCATGCATACATGTACCCATACCTCCATATATACATACACATACACAGGCATGCACGCACACATTCATACATGTATACAGGCATACATGCCTATGCATATATACATATACATGTGGGGATAAGTCATAACTACATGCATACAGGCATGCATACACATATCTGCATATATACATATATATGCGCATATACGTACATACATACGTACATTCGTACGTACATACATACACGCATACATGCATACCTACATACATGCATACCTACATATGAGTACATACATACATATCGACAGCCAGACCGACAAGCAAACATGCACAAATACGTACAGACATATATACAGACGAACTTGCAGGCATACATACAGACAGACATATATGCAAATAAATGCATGCATACGTACATGCCTGCATGCATGCATGCATGCATGCATACATACATAAATGCATGCATGCATACATACATGCATGCATACATACATACATACCATTGCAAATCTGCATGCATACATACACACTTTCATACATACATACATACATACACACATACATACATACATACATACATACATACATACATGCATACATGTATACATGAAAACCTGCCTATATATCGGAGGTTGGGGGTGAGATCGAAGTGGAACGGAGAGCCCCCCTACTGGGAAATCGATTTCGGTTTCGTGTTCGTGCGTGCCGTGCGGGCGAGGCGAAGCTGCGTGGGCGGGCGAGAGAAAGTCTCCTGTGGCTGAGGCGCGGCCGGACCCAAATGATTCCCTTCCGGGCGGCCGGGGCCCCGCGGTGTCCCGCCGGTGTCCCGCTGGTGTCCCGTGTGGCTGAGGCGCGGCCGGACCAAATGATTCCCTTCCGGGCGGCCGGGGCCCCGCGGTGTCCCGCGCCCGGTGTCCCGCGGTGTCCCGCGGTGTCCCGCGGTGTCCCGCCGCCGGTGTCCCGCGGTGTCCCGCGAGGATGATGATGATGATGATGA